CAGTGCCTGGTCACGAATATGCAAAGAAAGAAATTGTCATTCATTTGACATGTGCTCTGTAGATGTTGCTCGTACTCTTGGTCATCCTCCGAGAAATACACTTCTAACCCTGCGTATCTCTCCTCCTGCAGCCCTTCCGTCTCCTCCTCTACTGTCTCGCTATTCTCCTTCATCGCCACCACCCAGACCGCTTCGTTTCTCTCTTCACCGCCCTACTGACTCCATCTGAGTGCGATCGCTTATCCGAGGAAAGTGTAGTAAAGACCCATGACGACCGTCAATCCGACAGCGGTCCATCCGGTTCGGATGACTTGTTGGTTCTTGAATCCGATACCCACGTCCCACGCCAAATGCCTCAGGCCGTTGAAGCTGTGGAAGAAGAACGGGAAAGCGAAGAAGGCCTTCACTCCCATCTTCACAGCCGCGGGCCATGCAGCAACGGCCGCCACCATTGACTGTGTCTCGAGATGCCATCCAGTGTAAGGAGCAATCAGATAGGCGATACCGAAGAGGTAGAGGGAGCCGGAGAGGGTGATCCCCGTGATGCGGTTGAGCGACGAGGCGTACCAAGTGATTTGCGGCTTGTAGATAGCCAGGTGGGGGGAGACGGGGCGGTAGATGCGCTGCTTCGCGAGGATCTCGGCTGCTTCGGACTGCGAGGCGTGTTCGGTCGCTGCGAGCCTACGTTGCACATTGTTAGCATCCGCGGGCGCATGAGTATAGGCGGTACAAGTGGTGCGAGGAAGCTCGATGCTGCTATGACATACCTCCGCTGGACCATGCGTCCCGCCGGTTGTACCCTCAGACTAGGCGCGGCCGCCCGTCGCAGGCCAAGTTGGAATACCCGCTGAGAAGCCATTGTGCAGTTTCTCTGATGCCAATCGACAGAGCCGTCAGGTGTCGTGTGGTGGTTGTCAACCGTCGATGATGCGCAGTGCCGCCAGCCCAAATCTTCCCGATTCCCGAGGTCCCCCTACCGCCCAATCAGCAGCCCAGCATTACGCGGCTTAGTCACGCACTTGGCGGACACCCGATATTTTCTCGCGCGCGCCCTGCCAACTTCCTTTCCTTCACGAACCTCGATATCGCCGGCAAGGAGCGCTTGACGTGCTGAACTGCGGGAGTGACGGCCTATTTTGTCTGCTGGCGTTATGTCAGTGGATGGGGCTCAGGAGGGATCGGAGAGGGACTGCCTGTATTAATCGCTTGTGTTGACTAAGACTATGTCTGCACGAGTTTCATATCAAGGCTACATATTGTGTTTTTGCGTGAAATTTGTAACCTGTCGACACAGAGGCCTCGATACATCGCCTGATGCGAAGCTTGCGAGATAATGAGATGCGTAATTGCAGCATTATAACGTCGAGCTTACCCATGCTGGTCGACCCATTTGCCCGTCATTTGAAGCGGGCACGTGAAGGCGCTGACGGGTAATTCCTGTCATCACACTCGTCTTGTGCCTACGACGTCGTCCGAAAATGTAGGCAACAAGGCAATGTGGGTGTTCGATGATGCTTGGGTCGAGGCATCGTTACCACGCTCGGTGATTGCAAATTTTCTTCTACTTCAACTTCGTCCCGCTGCTGTCGCAATAACGTGACCTCTTTCGCCCATCGTCACACCTGCAGCAATAACATCAACACACATTGACTGAAGAACCCCATGACGCCTCTCCGCCAGATCTCTAGCGCCGACGCCGGGCTTCCGGCCGGCTCGTACATCTACAAAATCATCTCCACAGCGTCACGGCAAGATCCTCTTACCTACTCTTTGACCGATCAATTGGCCTGCATATCTTCGGACGACTCGTTGCGTTTTCATAGCGCCGACTTACAACCTGATGGTGTGATCGCAAACGCAAATGAAAACATAACCTGTCTGGAAAGAGCGAACGATGCACCCAGCAATGTTGTCGCAACAGCAGGAAGAGACGGATTGATCAGGTTCTGGGACAAGAGGAGCAAGCAGAAGGTTTTAGAAATACAAAGTCGTGAGTGACTAAATTCTTTCCTAGCTGGATGCGAGGGACGTGACGCTAACGATCAGCACAGCACACAAGCTTGTCTCAGCACTGGTGTGCGACGCTGAAAAGAATTTCGTTGCTGCTGGTATCGAAAACCCAGAAGACGGACCGACCAGCTCGCCGGTCTACATATGGTACATCGCCACAGCCCTCGTCTATTGGTAGCATCAGTATCACTAACCCATCCTTAGGGATCAGCGCAGCCCTGCAGCTCCTCTCCGATCCTACGTAGAGTCTCATACTGACACCGTGACCAACCTTGCTTTGCACCCATCGCATCCAACTCTACTATTATCATCTAGCACGGACGGCCTAATCAACATCTTCGATACTTCTCAGGCAGATGAAGATGATGCCTTGTACCAAGTTGTGAACCATGGATCAGCCATTGCACATGCAGGCTTCATGTATCCTGGCACAGACATCTATGCAATTGGTACGGACGAGACAGTGAGTTTCTTTGCTCTACAGAGCCAGAAAGAGGAAGAGGAAGAACCGACTCCGAAGGTGTGTGGTGATGTTAGGGAAGGACTAGGATGTGAGTATGTCGTGGATCTGGCATGGGTCGGACAACAAGCCTGTGTTGCTGCAGGAAAGCATAGGTATGTCTTCCATCTGTGGTGTGTACCAAAGCGATTATCAGTATTAAGTGGTCACAGCGAGAATCTTCTCAACCTCATACCGATTGATAAAGGTACCAACGGACCTCTGGATTACAGCTTCGATCTCGACAAGAGCATATCCTTCCCAGGCGCCCACAGCGAGGAGATTGTCCGCGATCTCTTCACTGATACTCATGTAGGCACAACCTCATTACAATATGACACGACGTTCTATAGCTGACATACATGGCAGACAAACACAACATACACATGCGGCGAAGATGGGCACATTCGTGCTTGGAGACCTTCAGAAGAGAGCACCATGGACGTTGATGAAGGAGCGGGATCAGCGAAGAAGAGACGCAAGGACAAGAAAGAGAAGGCAAGGTTCAAGCCATATTAAGATCCCGCGACTGTACTCTCGCGACTACCTCCGACCAATGTTGACATTGGAAAGAGCAAGTGCATATGCGCTGTTGTAAGACTAGGTTTGTGCCGATACAAGTCTGCAGGCATCCACAATCAACACTACTGCACAGTGGTTTTGTATCGAACTAGAACTTCCTTCCGCTCAGAAGCATCGAGGTTCTTACAATTTAATTAAACTGTGACGACACGTGTGCTAGCCGTGATCTACGAGCGACTCTTCCATGTAGGCCGACTCAAAAAAATGGCAAAACCCCAGAACTTTTGAAGTTCATCGAATTCATGAGGCGCAATGTACTGTCGACCTCGGAAGGTCACGACTCGCTTGTGGCTCGCCGCCTTCCACGGAAGCTAACGTTTCACCCCAGCCACCCAAACAGCATGACAGTTTCATCCCTCCTTACCCTCCCGCCATCACTCCAACGTCTCGCAGGGCGCCTAGAAGGTCGAAGCGACCGTTCCTGTATGATCTGCGTATCGTGATATGCCTTCAAGGGCGCCTGAGCGCCAAGGTATCCATTCTCTTCACGCGCCCGTTTCCGCCATGCTCGAAGCAGGCGCGTGGCCGTGTTTTCCAGGCCGACGCAACCGATTGTGTTGTTTTGTGTTTGTCTCGTGTGTTTTCTACCGGTGGAACTTTTGCGTTGGATGAGGGAATTGGGCAGATGCAGGATGCAGTACGGGTGTTGCGGCCAGGGAGAGCAATGCATCGTGAAGTCTTCGCTGTGCCTCGGTCTACGCCTGCGGAGCTTCCTGAGGCAGCGTGTATAAGAGAGGCCTGGTACCGCGCCGAATAGTAGCCTCATCAGCATCCTCAACCACAGTCTTCTTTACTACTCTCTACTTCGCTCTCTATTCAATTCTATTCCTTCCGCTGGTCGGTTCTTCATTATCAATAATCCCTTAACATAAACACTATTACCGACACCTTCCAAACCACCAACAAACCAACTCAACCGCAAAAATGAAGTTCACCATCTCCGCCATTGTCCTCGCTCTCTCTGCCCTCGCCGCTGCCAGGCCTCAAGGCGCCAACGACAACCGTCCCGTTCCCGAAGGCGCGTGCTGTGTTGCAAACACCAGCTTGAAGCAGGATGTGTGCACTGTCAATGGACAGAGCGGCCGATGTGTCCCCGACAGCGTCAACAACTGTGAGTAACCCACATATCATGATCCATAAATGAGCGTTCGGAGCTAATCGCAACACATAGGCGGCGCCCAATTGACCTGCATCGAGGACAGCCGATTGAACTGCGACCCCAACACCCTTGAGAGGGGCCGCCCTCTCTGTCGCCGCATCCAGGGCGCGTAAACTATTGGCGATTGGGTTCGAGTTTGGAGGAACAGTAAATATGTTTATATTATAAAGATCAGTATGAATTGGATTGGACTTAGTAGTGGTAGGAGGAGCTGTGGTATCCAGGTCCGATAGTGGTATAGGCTACATCGGCTGACAATGAAGATGCTGTTTCACCTTATTGGTTCTTTCTGGGTGCTTTCGTGACGATCTGTTGTGTGTTTGTGGACTTTGAGGTTGCGAGAATTTCCGATGAACCTCTTGACACTCTAGTCTGGTTCACTGGCGTTCGCTTCATGATCTAGTAGAAACTCGCGACAGATCGATGTAGAACAATCTAGCTGCCAGACTGCCTTGTTTGTAGTTTCTTAAAACAGCGAACAGTATTGCTATATAGACTTGGGGGTACGTTGATACATGCAAATGCGCTGCATTGTTGCTCATTTTCAACCGATCTTCACTGCTACCTGGTCACTTGATACACATCTTTTGCTTCGCACACGTGCATTCTGTACAGGTTCCTACCGCTAAATAGAGCCTACGTATCCTTCCTGTTGCGCCTTAGCCCCGACTGTTCAGCCCGTCTATCCAAACGAGAATCAACTCCGAGAGGAACAACGATAGCACATCAAGACTTTTGCGACAATCAGACATGCCCGGTAACTGGATCGATGACCGCATATCGATGCGCCTGGATGATGCTTTAGCAGCTGCAGATCGGCATTTGGCAGAAGATAACGAGCCTCAACGGCCTGAGACTGTGCGTGACGAGTTGAAGGAGCTGTTTGGAAGCACTGACCTGAGGAGACTTTCTTATCGGCCGCAACCCCACTCATCTACTTTCGCAGCACCTGAGATGTTGCCTTCACCAATTCCTGAAGAAGAGGATGTTAGCTTCCAGACTCTCATGAGCAACGCAAAACGCGTACTGCCCAACAGAGTTTGGGCAAAGCAGGAAAGACTTGGTAGAGAGCTGACACGCCAAGGCATAAGATTCCTCACATTGGTGGATGCTGCGGCCTGTTTACCAAAGAAGCACTGGTCATGGACTGTAAAGGAGGCAGTTAGCACACTATACGCGATCAAGGATCGTTGCGGAGAAGTAATGGAGAGCCTATGGTACCAGAACCTTAGTGACACTGATGGGCTGCACGAGAAGGCCAGAATCCTCCATCTAACACATAACGCTAGAGCTTATGTGTTAGTAGTTCGACTTACCTTCTTTCTCTGCCGTCTGGAAGGCAAGCTCATGGCTGAGGTCGACGCTGATGTGGAACGCAATACTTCGGCTCTCGGCGTACCGCCCAATTTCAACATCTTCGATGAGTTAGAGCAGCTAGAACTACGCATCGAGACGAATCGTGACGAGTGTTTAGAAGCTTTCGAAGATGGCGCTCAAATGGAATGGCGCGGGGAACCGGTCCCGGTCGAAAAGGTATCAGCTCCTATAGAAGGCCTCACTGATGCCGACTGCGCCGTGTGTCAGGACGCGCTTATACCGCCAGGCGTAATCACAGCATGTCGACACAGCTATTGTCGCACTCATTTGGAGCAATGGATCCATGCTGCAAGGGAAAATAGCCATCTATGCTGCATCTGTCGTACGGAACTTTTCCCAAAGCCCAGCTATCGGATTAAAGATCCGGAAGATGGTTGCAACTACCAACATGAGATGGATTGGTGGGATAAGGCGCTGACGAACGTGTGCATCGTGGAGCATTGGGCATTATGGCTAGAGCAAGAGCGACAGCTTCAAATCACGTACGAAAGAGAGACGGTATGAGTGCACTATGTCTTCGGAGCGACACTGGGAAGCCATAGGAAGGGCCTCTGCGCATGATCCGGCGTCGGAAGCCCAGGTTTTGTCTTCATGGTTTGACCGAAGCTGATCTGAAGTAGAATAGACTTTTGATAGGAGCATCTGTCAAGGCCGAAATAGTTCATGTAGCAGAGTCGGTATGCTTGATGACATGGTTAATGAAGCTGAATAGTCGGGAATGGGTCTGTGCCTACGGTGTTGCGAGAAGGACCGAACATGATTTGCCGTTCGTCGACTAGAAGTTTCCACGTCTCGGCGGTACTTTGAGTAGCGAATGCGCAGGAAGTTCCTACGGGTGTTGGTTTGGCAGCTGTACACCTGCATTCTTTGACGCGTCAGGCTCGCGTTCGTATGACGTCATCGACAGCGATAGCCCGCCGGTCACCCGGTATCCCTACGTAAGGTATCCCTACGTGAAACGCCAACGGTGCTAAAAATTGGAGAGATCATCTGGAATGACACCTGACAGCTGGGCAAGAGGCTCGTCTGTCAGAGCAAGGAGGAATACAGAGTGTTGATGAGATTGTTCACCGTACATTCATTGATGGATGCATTGCAGGGTTTCTGGTAGCGCCAGGGGCTAATCGATAACGGTCACCTCGGGAACGCGACACTTATTTCTTAACGGTACCTGCTTCACACGAGGGCGGTCCCACATTCAAGACTGGTTCAGCGTGCGCCCGTGCAGGACATTACTGACATAACGGCTTCATTCCCGCTCTCCACCCCAACACTGAATGCTCGAGCAAAGTTGTAAATCTCCTGCAAAGCGACGTCGAAAAGCACCCTTGCAACGATAAAGTCATGTTTTCGTCAACGTCTTCTTCGTTCAATAATGCGGATGTCGGCGGCCGCACGAAGAGAACAGAGACAGGATACCCAGTGACCGTGTACGAAATTGGAGCCGAGCCTATAGAGTAAGTTGCGTCTAGCACAGAATCATCACTTTAAGTCAACATAATTAACAGCGACCTAGCTTGAGCGAGGAGTTCTGCAATGTTAGTCTACCGAATGTGCTTTTCTTTTTGCAGGTTGTTAACAGTGACAGGAGCTTTGCTCGGATGCACCGCTCGATTCTACAGGCCGTTTTCACGATCGTAACGCTGTCATCGAGAAGTTGCAGCGAATGAGACCAGACTTTGATTCCACGTCTACGAATTTGGCCGTGTTGAAGTATGTTCCTAAAATTGGTCTAGGTGGTGATCAGGCTAACACATGAGTAGTATCGAGAAGATAAATATTGAGAGACGCTCAAAGCCGTGCGCACAACCACCGACAGCCGAGCAAAACGATGAGCAGATTTCAGGCTTAGTTACTCCACCAGCGGATGGTAGCTCTAATACAGCCTCATCAGGCTCATCGTCAAATGACTCGGAACATACCGAATCAGATTTCGTCTCTGCTCAAGGGGATGACGAAGTAACGGTAGCGCAAAGCCTCCCTACTCAGTCCAACCAGGGGAGCGATGTTCGCGCAGCAACACCAAGTGTCATATCAACATCTCGAGACGAGGAACCGCAGACTATCTTCTCGTCAGACAAGGCATCAAAGGTGCCTTTGTCGCAGGTTTTCACATCGACTCTTCCATCAGGTTGGACGTCCGATGCTTCACAGGCATGGGAAGATTTCAAAGCATCACCCGCTGCAAAGCAGCCTCTTAAGTTCTCTTATTTAGGTTCGTCTACAGCGAAACCAGGAATGTCATCGACAGAGGATCCAAAGCCGGAAGCCTCCGTAATCCAACCCCTAACGCAAAATGCAGCGATGAAGCCATCACCGCCTGCCAGTCTTCCAGCAGCATCTTCACAAACTCGACCTGCAGACACATCCGCTGCCGTAAACCCGTCGATCCCGTCCAAAGCCGCGCAAGACCAGCTTCCAGTGCAGGAGCCGCTGGTGTCAGAGACAGATAGCGCCACCGATCGAAACGTCGCGCAGGCTACCATTGCTAGAAAAAGGATACTAGATGACGAAGATCTCACGTCGAGCAGCAACGGCTTAAGCAGTCTTGCTTCAACAAGTACTTCTGAACCAGCCGAAGTCAATAGTCAACCCCCGGTGACGCCCGATCCAGATGAAGAGTTGCATAAGTGGATTCAGGATAAGTACATCGAGATAGGATTTGATGAAAATACATCCAACTTCATCGGCTGGCCCAAACTTCATAGAAAGCTCTTAGCACATGAGCCAGATGGAGCAAAGCATGCGCGAATCAACCGGGCGGTGTCGCGGTGAGTATCATCTGACCCTTTTGGCGGTCGACTTGCTGATCTGTTGCAGACTCCGTGTATTGAAAAGTCTCCCTTCTACAACTGTGGTCCAACAAGAGAAGTCCAAAGCCCGTCGTGAACGATTAAGGAGAGCTCAGGGTCCGGGCCTACAACACACTGCAACTTCACTAGCCGAAACAACAGTAGCAACGACCACAGCATCCCAAAACATTGCACCACAAGCAATGATGCAGTCGGCAGCCCCATCGACCTCTATACCACGCACATCAACAGAGTCCCCAACAATACAAGCGCCAGCATCGCAACCTTCGGCAATGGTCTCGGAATCATCGGAGCAGCCATCTTCATATTCGCAATACTCGTTCGAGGAACTGCGTGTGGCCGAATACAGCCGCGAGGATATTCGTCCAATCTCTGGATCCAGCCAGGGTGCTCGCAAAGCTGAGGCACCCCCCTCATTACCAACAGCCGCGGAAAGTGATCGACTGGACTTCAAATTGGACCTCAGTCTCATGCAAAGTCTCGTTCCAAACAAGTGTAAATCCGATAACTCCAGTGCGACTATCATAGATGTCAGGAGAGCTATCGGGCATGCGCCGTTGCTTTCAGCCCCTGTAGTCACTCAACACGCGAAAGACTTAGTCCCGCAATTTGGCTTCATTGGTAACCACCTGGATGAAGCCGGACATGATGTCAGCCTGTTTCACAATACTAACGTGCCTTTTTCTGCATTCATATGTGGAGTTCAAGGAAGTGGTAAAAGTCATACTACAGCTTGCTTGCTCGAAAATGCTTTGATCCCATCCAAGAACCTCGGCCGTTTGGAAGCACCTGCTTCTGCACTGGTTTTCAGCTATGGAAGTTGGAGTACTGGCGGAGCAGGTTTCAGCGTCAGTGAAGCCGTGCATCTGGCTCGTGCGCAGCCCGAATATCCTGGCCAAAACGTACGAAGAATCACTGTGTTGGTCTCCGCGCACAATGGAGCGATCAGAAGCTGTTACGAGGATCCCTCTCGTAACATCCGCGTGATTCCATTCAAACTCAACGCCCGGGCTCTCGACATCACCGGTCTGCGTGCACTGATGGGTATTGGAGATAAGAGCCCCCCACTCTACATGGGCCAGGTCGAAATGGTGCTCATGAAGATGTCTGCCACGAACAAAGATGGGCGACTCGATTACAAGTCGTTCACCAAGGCAGTTCAGAAGATAGATCTAAACGAAGCACAATCGCAAGCCCTGAAACAACGTTTAGCGATGCTTGAGTCCTTCCTCGATCTGGACGGCAGGGCGGCGGAGCCAGAATTCCTTCCAGGCGAGATGATTATCATGGATCTGTCCGATGCTTTCATGTCATCGAGCACAGCCTGTGTTCTTTTCAAGCTGGGCTTGGACCGCTTTCTGGAGTCTCCCATCAAGAATAAGATGGTGGTGCTGGACGAAGCGCACAAGGTACATGCTTTGAATTCTTGACCAATGAGTTCTTGCTAACAAAACGCTAGTACATGTCCGATAGTCCAGGATCCAAGTTTCTCGCAGAGTGTCTCCGCCATACCATCAGTGTACAGCGGCACGAGGGTGTCCGTATGATCATCTCCACTCAAGAACCGACCGTGTCTACAGAACTTATTGCGCTTTGCAACATGACCGTCATTCATCGCTTTTCGAGCCCTACCTGGTATGGCGCACTCAAGGGACATATCAGCGCCCTTGACGGCAACGACGACAAGGCTCTCATGCAGCAGATCGAGGGATTGGAAACCGGAGAAGCGCTTGTGTATTGTCCGAGCACTGTCCTCGCGAAGAATGATGACGGAAGCTTAGTGAAAGCTACGGGCCGACTGCTTAAGGTCAACATCCGGAAAAGGATAACGCAAGACGGCGGCGAGTCGATCATGGCCGTGTGATTGGTTGTACATGGTCTGCAGGTGTACCGGTGCACGTCGAACTTGATTCTTGGGCGTTTTGAGCGGATGGGATTATCATGGAGATTAGTCACTTGAAGAACAACCAAAGAGTGGGTTGATTTGTAAAGTTTCCATTTACTTATGACTATCGGGAAACCGCAGCATGCGTAGTTAGCTTCATGGCATGTTCTTGTTGGGCGCTCCTTGGCCCAACTTGAAGTAACCTGGGTGTAGCTTCTGGAACACTTGAGCAGGGTCGTACTTCTTGCTCACAGCGATCAGTTTCGCTACATTCGCCGATCCATAGCTTGCCAGAGGATCTTGAAACTCGCTTGCGTAGTTCATGTAGATGTAGTCATTGTCCAAACCTTTGCTCTTCGCATAAGCCTTGACCTTGTTCATGACAGTGGAGAAGAACTTGAGAACAGCAGCATCATCCGAAGCCTTGTTCCACCAGGCGCTCATGTTCATGACAAAATAGGGTCCCTTGCTGGCGTCAAGACCGAGCGCATTACCGCCATTCTTCTGCATGCCTTTGAGTTGGCCTTCTGTGATAGCTTGGATGGAAATGTACGGCGAAAGACCTTCAACGTTTTGAATATCTGGAAGCAGCGTGTAGTAGGTGTTGACGAGATAGGTGTAGAGTTCGCGGTCGACTTTGAGAGACACGTCCCACATAGTCTGGCGGTTGCCAAGCTCTTCCTCAGCACTACCGCCGTTCATCTTCATAGTCATGTTGGCCAGCGTGCCAAATGCTGTGTCATCCATCACGGGAGAGAGGGCTCTGATCTCCGCGAATACGGGAGGATCGGCGACAGGTTGTGCGTAGTGTGTTTGTACGATCGCCATTTTTCCGATACTGGACTCAAATCCAAAAGACTGCGCGGGGTCAGACACACGCCAATACAACGGCTGCACCACTAGTAGGTACTTACAACAATCTCAGCAGCGTCAGTGTCCTTGGAGGATCCGGTAAGGGCGAAGTTGTAGAGAGCATCGAGTACGCCAGTAAAGTTGTTCTCTGTAAAGATGCGTTGACCGCCCCACATTTGGCCGAGTGGGAACGCATCGAGCTTGAAGTTTGTAACGATGCCAAAGTTCCCACCGCCCCCACGAAGTGCCCAGTACAAGTCGGGAAATTTCGTTGGGGTTGCGGTTACCACGAGACCAGAAGCTGTAACGACTTCGTAGGCAGCAACGTTGTCGCAGGCCCATCCCACCTTGTTCGAAAAGAAGGAGATACCGCCACCCAACACGAGACCTGGAACACCTACTGGAGCCATCTGGAGAATTGTTAGCTAGCTCACATGCCATAGATTTGGTGGGACTTACTCTGCCACCAACAACTCCAAGGCCTGACTTCTCAAGTTTGGTGTAGACATCGACCCATAGATTACCTGGCCCAACATTGGCGTACTTCTTATCGTTGGATGCCGCGACGGTGTTGAATCTCTTCATCGAAACAGTGATTCCGCCCTCGATGCTCGATGCTCCAGCAAAAGCAGCATGGCCGCCACCCTTGACGGCAAAAGGGCACTGAGTGAGACGAGATATCAAGACCAATGAAGACACTTCCACCGTGTTTGAAGGTTCGAAGATACATTGAGGGTTCAAGGCGCCCTGTTGGGCAGCCCAGTATGTGGCAGTGAAGGCGTCATAGGCTGAGGTTTGTTCGGATAGGAGCTTTCCGCTGCCATATATGAGCTTCAACGAAGAGCACTATGTATCTGTCAGCGTTTTGGGTATAGAATCAGAGTACGAAAGATGAGACGCACAGCTATCGAGCAGCCACTGAGTGCGCTCCGTTCCACTAAGCCCGAGAGCTGAGGGATGGCGGAGACGTTGACACCATTGGCGATCAAAGCTTCAGTCACGTTGAAGTCTGCTGGTTCGAAAGCCCCAGTCTGAGCTGAAACAGATGCCACGAAGGCGCCAAGAGGAATGAAGGATCTCATCCTGGATGCAGTGGGAAGGAAGAAGAAATTTGGGCGTGAATCCAAGAAACCGGATGTGATGGAGCGCAGGTTCAGCCTGATTTATTCTGCTTCGTTTGGCAGATCTTCATCGAGCGACGATTGGCATGAGTATGCGAAGTTCATCTCGCTTGCGCTCTTGCTGCCGCATTCAAAGTTTAGGCGGTGCGAGCGGCTAGGGTACTCACGTGGGAGGTTCGAGATGCCCAGCGCGGCGGCGAAAGTCAAGCTTTGGCCGACTAAACAACGCACGCCCACCTGCAAGTAGGTATCCCTGGCAGTGTTTATATTGGGGCGGCAGATCCCTTGCATACGCTGCTGTTCGATCGCTTCAGAATTGCTGGGAGCTTAGGACGGCTTGTCGAAAAAGGCAGGATGGAGGATCATGCACTAATGGCGAGTAACCATGCCGCAGTATGCGTGGGATGCGACGGCAGGCTTTTGGTGAAGATGGGGTGGTAGCGTTACCGAGGTACCCACACCCAGATAGCGAAGTCCCTAAACGCCAAGCCACTACGGAGTGCTCCCCGTTGACGCTGGAAAACTTCCGATCGTGTCGCTCGTCCATACCGGCTTTGAGCGGGCCGCTGTGCCTCAACCCGTGGTCTTCCCGTAACACCTTTCGTTTATGCCAACGAGCGATGTTGCAAAGATGTTGTCCACTTCTCTAATACGCCGTGCTCATTCATTTTGCCACCCGCATTAGCCGGAACTCCATCCATGAGAGGACTTTGTCAGAATATCTGCACCTACAAGGGCTGCGTTCCCATCTCGCGGTCTGCAGGCGCAGCGCCTCACCGTGCCACCCAGACCCTGGCCGCTAAGTGACCAGTAGGATGCATCCCATGAGGACCAAAGGTTCGGTTGCGAGATCCTTCCTCGGACACATCCCGTGAGCAATTCTTGCTGCTAATTCGCCATAGTAAAGCCAACTTGGTTCTAGAATCATGTTTCGGCATGTTCGCTGTATAATTAACGCGAAAGTTGGTGACATGCACTGTGCCACTTCGCCGCACAATCAGTAGAAGGTAACATGCTCCGATCGGTTCCAACGACCTGGGATACAGGATCAAGCCTCTTTTGCTTTTCTATCGGCCAAGTGTTCGCTGGAGTGCCCTGCGATCCTTCTCGCCGTGTCACACTTTGCCGTAGGGGTGCATGATGGTCATTTTCCCACTGGCATCAAACACGGGCAGAGAAATTTGTAGTTGTTAGGGACGACAGGGTGTCTCTGGGTGAAGTACCCGTCATGGCCTGACACACACGGTTTACGAAAACCGTTATATGGACTGCGGCGGATCATGACATATGCGTCTTCCATGACCCAAGCTCCCGTCTGATAACAAGACGTCTCAAGTCTCTTCTTTACATTATACGGCTCACGTCGTCATTTGATCTCATTCTCCAACTCATTATGTACGAGGCTTCGAAGGCTCCAGTTTCCAAGGATGTTCTGTTACGGACGAACGCCGTCATGCTCGTCCTAACGTCCGGATTTGTCTTTGCGCGCGCCGTATTGCAAATCGCCAAACGTAAACCGTTCGAGCTGCCAGACTTCTTTGTCTATTTTGCGTATTGCTTGTTCATCGCGCTATGGGCTTGCTATCACGTCGTTACGCCACCGATATACAGGGCGTATGCTTTCATGGAAGGAGAGACTGAAGCGTACGCCACTATGAAAAACGATGCTATTGCAATGCTGAAGTTCCTCGTGGCTGGTCAGATCTGCTTTTACACCCTTCTTATCTCGGTCAAGATGTCATTGGTGACGTTGTATCGGAAGTTGCTCGCTGGGCTGCCAAGCATCTACAGGAAGATATGGTGGGCCTTGGTCGCTTTTTGTGCGTTGGTGAGTATGCGAAGCAAGACTTGCCCGAATACTTTCGCTAATAGACCTCTGGGCGTGGATTGGTAGTGTCACTAGCACTTTTACTACATGCGACGACCTAAACGCGGAGTTCAGAGAGGGCCAGTGCGGCGGAACTCTTGACGAGGACCGAAGAGTCATCTTCAGTCTCTACTTCGCGTACTCCGTCGATGTGGCGACCGATTTAGCAAGTAAGCGCATCATTTAACATTTTCCCAGCGTGGCGTACTAATCCACGTAGTCATGTTTTTACCGTTACATCTGACATGGAACCTCCAGATGCCTCGCAAGCAAAAGGTTGGTATCTTCATATTGTTCGGGAGCGGTTTCATCTGCATCGCCTTTGCAACTTTACGATGCTTGCAAGTCGGTGTTGATGGTAGTGGAAAGGCTACAACACCGGAACCCAAGTGGTTGATGCTGTGGACTATATTGGAATGTTCAATAGGTATGTTCACTGCTCCATCCGCGAGGTTCAATACATGACTGACAGAATATACAGCTATCATGATCGCATGTTCGCCTGCCTTCGCATCTTTCATTCGAAAGCGTATAAATACTTCGAAACCATCGTACAATGCACAAGGCTACTTCAAACAAGGAACTGATGAGATAAAGATGAAGAGCATCATTTGTGCCCCAGTTCGAGCCAAACGTGGCGATGCGGATATGTATTGGGATGATACGCATAGTAGTCAGGAAGAACTTGCTGGGAACTCTAGGCGCATCGTCGTCAAAACTACAGTACAGCAAAATGACGAGATCTCTGGTCCTCCCTGGAAGCATGTGGGTACCAGACAATCCTGGACGACAGAGGTACACAGTGGCAAGGGAAGAGTAGCATAACTTAGCTGTTAAACCAGTCAACACCCCTAACCATTTTATCACATATGTAGCCAGTGACAAACGCATATGTCCCCTTATGCAAAATGTCAATGACCTGCTCGTTGATCGGCCACGTCCACGGAACCATGGAAACATTCGCTGTGGTCTCCACCAACTGATCCAGCATGATGCGAATACCGGTATGCATGAAGACAGCTACCGGCCCGATGACGCCGTAGTACGACATGACCGCTCTGAAAGGCCCAGCAAGCATGCCCATACCGAAGTGATGAGCATGATTCAACAGGAAGGTGTGGCGCTGGTAAAATTCTGGTGAGACACCCATGTGGTTACCCATCGTTCGCGCGGGTACGTAGGAGTCTGGACGGCCTGTGAAGAACTGTTCGACTTTGTTCGATCCTGACATGCTGGAGAAAGTCAGGCATTTGCAGAAAGATGGTCAGGTGGCAACTGTCTTACACTAAGGCTCCTACAAAGCCGGCTCCGATACCGATAGCGACCGCGCGACCGAATCCGACCTGCGGAAATTTGGGAAAGCTCGACTTCGCATCTGGATACGAGACCGTTCCGGTCGCGGTGTGGTATTGAGGCATGATGACTATGCTTTGGATGGCGATGGAAAGGGAGTAGAGGTCGCCCAATGTGGTTTGGAACTGGAGAAAGGAGGGTGCGAATCGTCGTTGCGATGCTTTGTTTTGCACCTGACGTTTGCGCTGTGACTTAATGTGGTCGTGAGCGAATGACCAATGACTTCGCTCACTTTGACGTCACGCATCGCCGGGTTGCCAGATCTTCGGAGTGCGCGAGCCTGCACATTACACAACATGTGGCAGAAGGTAGTATAGAAAAAAGAATGCGAATATAAAGATCTGAAAGGAAGCTTTCAAGGTTCGTTGCCAACAGAATCAGATTTGTTGATTTTACACGGCACCGCGTCAGTGTCACTATGTGTTAAGATGTTGCTGTGGCCTCAGGTATCGCATTATTGCAGACTTGAATACTGACTCAGTTTGCCTCATCTAAAACTTCCAAGAATTTTCAAACCGTTCATGCCGACGCCATTGCTGATGAGCTCTCCATCGACGGCCATTCAACGTCCGTATCCATTTCCGAACTTAGCCCCAAGCGTTGTGCGACCGAACACTGTCAAAGAGTCAGGCAAGGTAGGTACTTTTTGTATGAGTCATTTGAACAGCTATCGTACGTGAAAGCGGCTCCAAATTTGGCAACGACGGTGCCTTCGGCGCTGGTGTCATCGCATGTGAAGGTGACACAAGCGCGCCTTCTGCACTAGTACGCGTTCTTTATATCCAGGTAACTTCCTCACCCACTCAACCACCAAGCGCAGACAAACAACAGCTTCCAAAACAGCACAAGCACTCCAACCGCGTCTGCCACAGCAGTGTGAAAGATGTCGTCATTTCTTGACCTGCCCGCGGAATTGCGCAACCAAGTATACGGTTACATTGCAATACCCCACACAGTACCTCTCTCCTCCTACATGGGGCTCTACCTATCCTGTCGCCAAATTCGATCTGAGATGGATAGCGAGTGCGCCAATGTGTTTCGACAGTACCTCGGGACCTTCCAATATCAGCTCCAAGACGCTCACCTCGACATGCCTGAGACTTTCGCGGAAATGCAGCACGTCCGCCTGCACGTCACACCAATTACAGCCTCAAACCTCGTTCGATGGTTCGACGAAAGTACAGCTTTATTCCCCCTCCATCTTGCGAGCCTTTCGATCATCCACGACTTCTCGGAAGAGTTGCCTCTGTCGCGTCAGACGAGCGATCTTATCCTTTTGCTTGGAGATGAGATATGTGACCAGCTCACGACAGGGGCGGCCAAATCTGAGCAAATTAGGATAGAGTCCTTATGGTCTTCAGAAGAAGCTGCGAAGGCTTTCATCCACCGTCATCCAGGCTATGAGTTTCAAACACCAGAATGGACCTTCTCATGGGAGGTGGGCTCTGAAGGTGCTCTATGTGGTTTGTGGAAGAAGTGAGGGTAAAGTAGCTGCCACGGATAGCTTTTAGAGAAATCTTGCTAACTTCTTACTAGTACGCACTTCTCCTTACTATGCTCTAGCTGCGCAGCAATCGAGGCAGTTTTGATACATCTTACTATCTGTCCTAAGAACTCAATAGATGAGGAGGGACACAGTGGGGTGCTAGCGACTGATACCATGGGCTTTGTATGCGAGATCGAGATTGGAAGGGACAGCGAATGAGGTTGCACGTTTCGTCTGTAGAGAACATACCGGTCCGAGCAAGAAGCCATTGTATTTGCCTGGTCACAAAAGCGTCCGAGGAGTGAGGAAAAGAGCGGTAGGGCTATACACGCCAATATGCATGTCTTCATAGGCGCGAGTAACACGTATTCGTAATCTTAATTCTATACAGATTGCGTTTCATCTCAGATTCCACGATCCTTTCCCTGTTGCAATGCGTGCTTCTCATACATCTAGACACCCCAGAGCTCAATGTTCATGACCATGATGCTCGTGCCCAGCACCCTTCTCCGCGAAGTCGATCTTCCACCCTCTGGTAATGAACACCCGAGGGTCCCTCACTACCGCATACGCAGCCTTCTTACCCTCGGCAGCATGGAACTCAAGCGGCACAGGCTTCTTCCTTTGCGTCTCCCTCTCACCCTCCTGCATAACGACGACCTCAGACTTGTCCTTCCACGCCTTGGGTGCGCCGACAATGATGATCTTCTCGACGCGTACCTTCTCCATCGTCTTGAGGTACTTCTCGCACTTGACAGTACGTTTGTTGGAGTCGAGGTTGGAGGAAGTGAGGATCTGGCGGGTGCCATCGAAGGAGAAGCGGCGGTGGATGAAGGCACCCATTTCGTAGTCAAAGGTCTCGCCATCGTCAACGTACAGAGTACCGGCAGCGTTGCCGTCTTTGTCCAGAGCGATGACCAGGGTAAAGGGGTCGTACTTCATGAGTCCAGAGGAACGACGAGGACGGTCGCGGCGTGGGATGACATGGCCACCCTGCATGAGAAGAGGAATCTTCTCGAGAGGGGCTGGTACAGTGTGGTGCCCAGCGCCGCTGTAAGTGGTGAAGTCAAAGTAGTCGTAGTAGGGCTGGTCGTCCGCGAGGTAGATAGAGACACTGTCAGCACCTTCCTTTGTGACTGGCTTGGCGAGCAGACCAGTGGAACCAATGTAGAGTTGGTCGTCAACTTCGAAACCACGTTCGTCGGCAGGGTGGACCCAGAAGTTGGGTCGGATGATGGGGGCACCGGTGGTGTGAGCCTCATGGAAGGCAGTGTACCAAGCAGGCAGAAGCTGGTAACGAAGACGAAGGGCCTGAGTGATGATCTCCGTGTACGGAGAGCCAGCAACGTATGGCTCGCGGCGACGAGTGTCGATATGAGCGTGGCCACGGAAGAAAGGGTAGTAGATACCAGCCTGGTACCAGCGAGTCAAGAGTTCCTTGCTTGGGTTACCGAAGAAACCTCCAACATCCGCACCACCGAAGGGGAAGCCGGAGATACCCTGGTTGAGGACCATGGGTATGGAAGCCTCAAGATGACTCCACTCAGCCTGGTTATCGCCAGTCCACATGGCAGCAGTGCGCTGACTACCAGAGTAGAAAGCTCGGGTTAGCACGAAGGGACGGCGAACCTCGCCCTTCTTGCGCTCCGTGATGGCTTGGTATGTCGCGTTGTGGAAAGTCATACCGTTGATGTTGTGAACATCGCGGTGCTCCCAGTTACCGTGGTGCAAGTTGTCCTTGGGCATGGTTGTCTCAGGGCCGTTGAACACCGAGGGCTCGTTCATGTCGTTCCAAATGAAGGTGTTGTGGGCAGTGCCCTTGAACTTGTCGTAGTTGAACAAGCCCTTCCACCAGTCGATGGCAGCCGGGTTGAAGCAGTCGATCCACATAGATGAGCCAGGCCAGCACCAGCCCTCGTACTGCTTGCCTTCCTTGTTCTTAACAGCGAGGTCCTTCTTCCTCAGCTCGTCGATGATCGGGTAATCATTCGTATTCTTGATATGGGGGTCGATGATCGCAACAAGCTTCCTGTCACGCTTGTCGAGCTGCTGCTGCATGCCTTCGGGGTTGGCAAAGGTCAGAGGATCCCAAGTGAAGTACTTCTTCTCCTGTGTGTATTCAATGTCGAGCCAGATAACGTCGTACGGGATGTTGAACTTGTCGAACCTGCGGTCGACGTCCTTGACATCCTCATCGGTGACGTAGTTCCATCGGCACTGGTGGTAGGCGATAGCGAAGGACTGGGGCATAGCGGTGTAACCAGTCAGTTCACCATACTGGCGAGTGAGGTCCTGAGGAGTCGGTCCGAGGAAGACAAAGACGTCCAGCAGACCACTCTCAGACATCCAGTGCGTCTCAGTATCGGTATGGCCCTCAACACCAAGAGCGAGCGGGTTCGCAGTGTTCCTCTTCTTTGTCACGTCGATCCAGGTCTCGGCACCGTTGAGCCAAAAGACACCGACGGTGGAACCCTTGCGATGGGCTTGCATGAATGGGATGGCGCCGTAGAGGGTCATGGGGCTGTCCATCTCGTACTCGAAGACGTCGGCGTTGTACAGTCGGTATGGCTCGGTGTAGGCATTGTCGCCGCCCCTAGAGACTGTCAGCTAAGTAGGTATATCTGTGTGGATACTGCGCACCTGGTGGTCTTGAGAGATAGCCGTGTCGCGTGCTCTGGGATACCAAAGACGTGCGCGTATCCAGGGAACGAGATGTCCAGTGCAACAGCCTCAGGGCCTCTCGGCTTGCTGTCTGTGTTGCCACCAAAGCTCTCATCCCACCACGTGCTTTCGTCTTCTACAGGCTCTTCGGTCTTCTTCTCTTCCTCCTTGACTTCTTCCTCGCCCTCCTTCTTCTCCTCTTGGGGCTTCTCGACCTTGGGTCGCCAGTGTTCGACGTTCATGTAGCCGCGCTCATTGAACTTGACTTGCGTCTCGCCATCGCGTTGGAACTCGATGCCGAAGGGCGCGTGGCGGATGACGGCCTGGTGCTTGCTGCCCTTGCCGTAGACAACCTTGGTGTAGCCATCTTCCGTCTCGGGGTTGAAAGCAGCGCCCTTGGACGGGTCTAGCCCTCCAACAAGAGTCCATTGTGCCGCCTCGTTGTATCGCTCCTTCCGTGCTTGACTGTCGTGTCGCAGTTGGATGTCGCCTTTGGCCCTCTTCTCTTCGTCAAGAGTAACGCGTGCCACGCCCGATTCGAGGAATGTAACGGTAAGCGGCAAGCGAGCTTTCTCTTCGCCTTCCCTCAGTGTCTTGAGCACGACGGCATCTAATTGGCCATCTTTGAACGTGATTGAGGCAGGGTCGAGAACGTAGGGCGAGGTCCAGGAGCTCGAAGCGGAGACGTCATCGGCGAACTGGCGGTTGCGCTTGCAGAAGCCCGATTGACTGCATGTTTTGAAGTTCTCATGCTTGACCGATACTGACGTCTGTTAGTAACCTCCTTATAGCTTCGTATTAATGCAGAAAGAACGCCGTCATGGACTGGAGATATTGAGGGTGAGCTTAGCTACGTACCAGCTGGCACGAACAGGCAAGCCAACAACGCCAACACCAAAAATACAGCCGTCCACCGGGGAGGCTGCTTCCGTAAAGTAATCATGACAGGCAGCTCTCTAATACACAGAAGCCAGCCTGGAATATCACCAGTCTATCAATCAATCGGCCAGTCCTCGACGCTCGAGATGCCATGTGGACTTTGAAGCAGCGCCAAGGTCAGGGTCCAGCTCTCTTGCACAAATCAGGCATAATTTTATGCAAGCTACCCCACTAGACAACAACGAGGGCGTCGATACCCCACCCCCTTCATAAAATTCCAGCTACACGTCCGTCTCTCCTTCTCGTTTCCTCTCATCAAGTCGTAAAGACACATCACTTTTACACAAAAACTCAAACGCCAATTCATCGCCAAAATGACTACCGAGCAGACGTACGTTGGGCATCCTGATCCCAAGACGAGGGGCAGCTGAAGGGCGGTGAACGGCATACTGACAGCTGAATAGCTTCATCGCTATCAAGCCTGACGGTGTTCAGGTATGTTTCTCTCTCAGTTCTCGAACCTTGTACTCTTCACGCTATCAACAGTGAATCAATTGTTACAATGATTCTGCTGTTACGACTGAGACAGCGGGGTTCTCAACAAAAGATAAAAAGCAAACATACTAACAAATGCCCAACAGCGTGGCCTCATCGGTCCCATCATCACCCGCTTCGAGAACCGCGGCTTCAAGCTTGCCGCCATCAAGCTCGTCACTCCCTCCAAGGAGCACCTCGAGAAGCACTACGCCGACTTGAGCGACAAGCCCTTCTTCCCCGGTCTAATTGCCTGTACGTTGGCCATTTCGAACGAGATATACCCAGTTCCACCACTGACACCCTCTAGACATGGGCTCCGGCCCCGTCTGCGCCATGGTCTGGGAGGGCCGTGACGCCGTCAAGACCGGCCGCTCCATCCTCGGTGCTACCAACCCCCTCGCCTCCGCCCCCGGCACCATCCGTGGTGACTTCGCCCTCGACGTTGGCCGCAACGTCTGCCACGGCTCCGACAGCGTCGAGAACGGCAAAAAGGAGATCGCTCTCTGGTTCAAGGAGGGTGAGGTCCAGAGCTGGAAGTCCGCCCAGCATGACTGGGTTTACGAGAAATAGACGCCTCATACAGTTAGACTACGAGAGAATGGAGCGAGATTAGTAGCTACGAGCTTCTGCGACGGACAGCTGGTCCACGGACTGGCCTAGTAGTCATAGACGCTCTGGGCGAAAAGCTGGCTCTAGACTTCAGGGTTTAGGTGTGGGCTATGAAGATACGATCGCATGAAAAGGAATATGGTAGAAACCAATGAGACACATGAATGATCTCTCAATACTTTGTTGACTCGCAAAGTGATGCAGTGCTGCTCATGCTAATGTGGTCCACCAGAGCATGAACGTAATACACTCAGTGTATCCTATACATGCGCCGATAACATAACCATGCCACACTCGAGACGTTCCTCAACGCCGCGCAAAAGCCCCAAACCCTCATGCATCTTCACCTGCCGGCTCTTTTCCCTTGTCTTTACTCCTCGTCCGAACCCTCGCCACCTCTTTCTCTGCCAGTTCAGTGCCTATCTTCGCGGTGAACCAACCCCTCAACTTCTCCACTTCGCGCCATTCCCCAGCACCCTTCTCAACAGCCGGCCCTTTGATCTCCTCTCTTGCTCTCAATTCACCAAACGCACCTCTCTTCGCTCCCCAGACAGGTTTACCCCAGCGCCATACACACCACGCACTCTCGTCTGTGCTTATAAGCATGGGATGCCGGTTCAACGACTTGACAGCGAACGCGCGGAGTAAGACCACATCGCCAATCTGCGCCTCTGGAAGTGCATTCTGATAAGCGCGGAAGATCTGCACCGTTGTCGTCTCGGGCCAGGAGCTAGCATCCGTTATCTGCAGACTGGTGAACCAGTGTTTTGGACCCTTCTTGGCCTTTTCGCTTGGCGTAGTAGGAGAGGTGACCAGGGCAAGTATGTCGGGTTTGGTAGCCGAGTGGAAGTCGGAGGAGCGGTTGAGGAAGTAGACGAGGTCCTTTAGAGGAGTATAGTAAGCTAGCGGGGTGGAAAGGCCGACAGAGGGTGGCTCGGGCGTCTCAGCGTTGGCGTCGTCGGACGATGGGTCAATCAAGGTTGGAGATGCGGGGATGGTTGCTGCGTCGACCGATCTGTGTTTGCGACGCGGTGTTGTTTTGGGTTCTGGTGATGCGGTCAAGACTTCCATGTCGACTTCGGCCTCGGCTTGGACGGAGCGCAGACCTGCAGATGTTGTTTGCGTAAGCTGAGGCGTCAAAAGGGTGTTTTGTTCATGTTGGGCGTTGATGCTGGGCTGCGACTCCATGGCAGTCTGCTGGCTTGCAGCAGGGGTGATAGGTCTTTTGCTCTGTTGTCTCGTCCGTTGGTCGATTCTAGGTGAAACGGGTGGTGAGCTGCGCATGAGCGCGTCAATATCACCGACGTCTTGGCTACCTCCACCTGGAAGATCGTATACTTTTCTCCTCGTTCTTCGTACGTTACGTGGGCTGGGAGTTATCGTGTCCTTTGATTGCGCTACATGTCGTTGCGTACCCGGGCTGCTGACCAATGGCTGTGTAACGTACGAAGATTCGGGTTGAGCAGGACTACAACTCCTCATCTCCACGCTTTGCTGCGCGTTCTTCTTCCCTCTGACCTTCTGCTTTGAAGGCCCTAACTCTGGCGCAGTGGCTGGCGGCGGTTTCAAGCCTTCATCATTCTCATCATCAAAAGCATTGGCACGGTCGACAGGGTCGCTGTGATGCATATACTCCATGTCTGAGGGATGCACAGTAGATATCGAATACTCAGAGCGTGCACTCTCTTCTTCAGAGTCTTTGATGAAAGCGACATCAGAATATCTGCCTTGCGAGGCACCCAACTCCTGCGACGGCTGGAAGCTGGAAACGATTCGGTCATACTCCTGAGTTTGGGATACTTCAATATCGGGTATAGAGTCTACACTTCTTTGCGAAGCATGTCTGCGCGAGCCTCTCTGACGAGCGATGCTAGCACCGGTTGACAAGCTTTCCATTGGCGAGAATCTCGACTGTGAACGAAGACTATAAGGAGAAGTCTGTGTGGATTCATGTGAAGGAGAGAATGCAGAATGGGTGCGTGTTCTGGGTGGTGAAACGGCTGAGCGGGCACGAGAAGTCACAGATCTTGTGGATCGTTTGTTGGCTTCAGGGACAGCAGCATCTTCTTTCTCCAGGGGCGCTGATGCCTTTGCTTTTGACCTGGTATTTTTTGCAGGCGGCTCAAGCACAACACTCGTGCTTTCGATCTTGTGGGCATCCTCAGGTCCGATGCCAGAATGTTGGCTCACAGGCTCATTAGCTGTCTGGGTGGTATCGACGGGCGCTAGTTGGTCATTGAATTCGTCTGCCTGGAATACGGCGGCCTCTTCTATTGTTTCCATGTGGACATCAGATTGACGGTCATCTTCAAAGGCAGCTATCTGCTCATGTTCCTGCCCGAATGATGCGTGTTCCATCGGAAATGCGTCTTGCAAGTAGTCGTCAGTAGCCTCCAAACTCGATTCTGGCAGATCACCGACATGTGAAAACGGCTCCTGCGTGGGGTGTGGTACAACTTCAGGCTCCGGTTCCTGAGATTTAGTGTGAGTAATTGTTCGCTCCTCTGATGTATCAAGAGCATGTGCGTCCGCGGTCGCAAAATCCAGGTTCACAAACTCACTATGATTACCAAGATCCATGGCAGAGGGCTGGTCCTGAGAAGGAGTCTGTCTTCGGCTAGAGCTAGGCTGCCGCTCTTCATGTCTGGTGTCGATCTCGCTGTTATCATCTGAAGGGGAGCCCAAGTCGACGATAGCTGACGTAGCTGTGGAATGTTGTGTGCCTGTGTCCAGTGCTTGGCCACGAGTGTCTTCTAGGCTTCCGTTCACAGATTGCATGTCATCCGAGACATTGGGGGCTTCTTCAGGCTGTTGAGCAGTGTTGGGCTGCATCATAGATTCGACTGCCATGAATTCCGGCTCGATTTCACTCAAGGCTTCTTCTTCATCCTCCGAGGAGAGTTCTACAACTTCTGGCTCGGCCGTTTCGTCTTCAACCATCTCTGGATTTGCAGTAGTCAAATCTTCAACGGCGTCGTCTGTATCATCGCTCTGGGGAATGCTCAGGCGTGACTGAGATATATCTTCTACTTCCGAATCGCCATCGTCGTGTTCGCGAGGGGCGGGCGAGGTTGAAACGTCGATGTTCTCAGCTTTTTCCTCGACTGATTGAGCTTCTGGCGGAGGCGACGACAGCTCCATGGGGCGAGAATAGCCAGCACCGTCCATGCCGAATGTGAATCGTACAGGTGTGAAGGCCGACTCGTGGTTCGGGTGGAACACCGAAGCTCTCGATGAGCCTATTGAGCTGAAGAAGGACGTCTCGCCGATGTAGCTCGCTTCGCTTGGTGGATCTTCTTCCTTGTCTCCCGTAGCATCAGCTTCGACCGGCTGTTCGATAGTAGTAGCAACGCCAAAGTAAGACGCAGCATCAGCGTCATGCTCTCCTGGAAACGGTGACGGCAATGGAAGATTGGAGGCGTCTTGTGGCGCAAGCGTTGGACTTTCAGGCTCTCTACCGATCGGCGTCAACAAGCCTGCGGCGACCGATGGGAAGGCGGGAGGAGGCATAGCAATCGTAAGCTCGTTGTTGGCGTGATTGTCAGCCCCAGCGGCGGGCACGGGTTCGGTTTCTACATGTGATTCTACGACTTCTGAGGAGCTTGGTTCTTGGGTCGAAGTCATCTCATCCTTTCCTGTGACCGCCTCTATGTCAACCACTGGTTCTTGGACGCGCTCAAGTGGTCTGTCTTCTTGTTCTTCGACATCCGCCTCGGTGGTGCTAGTGCTGGTGGCATTAAGCTCATCGCGCGTGTTGCCTTCTTCCTCGGTATTAACTTCAGTGTCGATCTCGGTATCGCCTCCAAAAGCATATTGTGCATCTGATGGTGGGTGTTCGTCGGGCCCACCGTAGAGATCGTGGGAATCGGCGTCCTTTGGTGGCCCCGTAGAAGACTCGCCAACGACCTCTGCACCCTCGTCTGTTGGGGTATTCGGCTCCGTGTCTTCATCTTCCTGAACATGCAAGGGCCCGGCTGGTCGTTGAGGCGAAACGGGGGTGCGTGGAAGTTGCGCTGCACGACTAGGCGACGCTTCAACAGACTCGAGCTCTTCTTCCATGTCCATGTCCTCTTTCTCCGGCGATGGTGTCCTTGCGCTGTATGTCCACGCCTTCCAGTCCCCGTATGACTTCCTAGGTCGCTTTCGGTCGTGACCGTCCTCCGTCTCGTCCGCCAAGGGGTCGTAGGGTGCTGGGAAGGAGGGTCCGTCGGACAACCGCACCCGCTTGAAGAAAGCAGGGGAGGAGAATTCGCGCGCAGGCGTCGGGGCTGCTGGGCGGACAGGCGACCCGGTCGCAGGTGTGGGCGCGGCATCGACGAGTTCGAGGTTCGCCGTTTCGCTGCCATTTCGATAGACGCGAACGACTACTGTCTGGGTATAGGATAGCTCCCACTCGATGCTCTTGCCGGGTGTGCTGATGGCGCCTTCCTTAACAAAATCGGCGCCTCGTAGGCTCAGAACCACTTCATCGCCAATGCCCACGCCTGCTGTCGCAATGGCCTTCGCGCTGGCGCCAGAGAAGCGCGCTCTGACTTGTCCGTTCTTGCGTCGTAGTCGTAGGTCGGGCTCAGCGAGCAGCAGGGCAAATTGTCGCGTCGACGACGAGTAGGGCCATATTAACGTGACGGTCGCTCGGAACTGCTTCGATTCAATCGCGGCCAGCTCTGGACTGAGCTCTGCGATATGCGTGTAATCCATGATGCGCGGCGAGAGCGCAGATGCGTGTTATGAAAGCGACATCGTGAGAAGGGCGATTTGTCTAGGTGGGAAAGTGGGTATTGCGCCCGTGGGTGGTGTTGACGTGTGAGCAGCGTGGAAGCGTGCAGGGATGTTGCGCGGAAGGTGCTTGCGGCCACCTCGGTTGTTCCTGTATTACAGCACCCCATTTAAGGGAAAACCCGAACACCTAAGAGCCTACATTAAGATAAAAGCTTGCGAAGTTAGTAGCCTAACAACAACGT